CCTCCAATGCCACAACCACAAATGTGTTGTCCTCCAATGCCACAACCGCAAATGTTTTGTCCTCCTCCACCACCACCAATGTTTTGTCCTCCACCACCACCAATGTTTTGTCCTCCACCACCACCACCTCCTATATGTGTTCCTGTATGCTGTGCTAGACAACGAATGATCTGCGATCCTTGTCTGGGACCCCGTTGTATAACAGAATATTATCAAACAATGGTACGAATACAATAATACTCAACTCCAATGTTTTAGGACGATTAGGACTGTTTGTTATTAATTATGATTAAATCTATTCAGACATAGTTTTTTTTAGTTAGAAAGTTTTACTAATAAGCATGATAACTAACAATTGATTGTAGATTATATTATAAACAAATAAAAATAAAATTTTTATTAATTTATCCAATTTGTTTTACAATATTTTGATAATGCACATTATCTGATGTATCATTTTCAAGTTTTCTTTTCTCAACAAGTTAAAATTGAATTATGCTCTTTGCAAAATAGATACACATAGTATTGATATAAATGAGATATTTTTTTTCTTCTCCATATCATATTAATGAATATAGATGCAAAGAAATACAAAATGATCTAAGATTGATGATAAATTAAAAATACATTTAAAAAAATACATCGATTAATAAATCGTTTATAATGTAAACCATATATTCACAAGTATGTTTTTCACTATAAGTAATACGTCTTTGAAATAAGTAGGTAAAGCAATAATATTTTTACTATTAGTAATCATATAATATGTCGACATGGCCACAAATATATTTTATCAGTCATTTGTTTATTTTTAATATTTTCTTCTTCTTATTTAAACACAAAGATTTTTTCTAATAATATTTTTATTTACATACATTAATTACATAAATTTCAAAGCTTTATATCTAGTTCTAATTTTAATAATATATAAAAACTGCATTGAAGAATATTTTTTCGATAACAAAAAATCATCATAGTTAAATTTCCAGTATAATGACGATATCAAAGATTGAAATATATTATTGAGATGCGGAACTAAATTTGAATACTTTTACCTTATATAACGATTAATTTGTTACGGAAAAAATAATGAATAAAATATATAAGAAAAAATTTTTATGTTTCTATGCATATGTAATATCGATCATCATAAAATGTATACCTCAAAGATATTTTCAAATATCATACTTAATATGTAAACTAAATCAATAAAATTAAAGAGGAATGTGATATATTTACTTTAAAAAGAGCATATTCTTTTTGAAGAGGTAAATAAAAAAAGAAATATTTTTTTTATGTAAAACGATTTACGAAATTAGTATACTATTTCAATAGTATCTAATTATACTGTTACACACGGACATACTTTACACATTGACAAAAATTTAACGATTTTATATCTCAATGTACTCCACTCAGTTTTATTTAGTATATCGAGTTTTCTGTCATCATACATAACCTCAATAAAAATGAATACTACAATTGATTTAATAAAATTTTAATCATTTTATATGAAAAAAAAGACTCACATTAAGGGTGGATATGTTTGTGAAAAAAATAATCAACATTGTAGTCCAATTGATCTCATGATACATGCTAGAATTGTAATTATTTCGAAATATTAATGAATTTATTTTATATTTTATATTCTAATATATAATATATTGCAAGGTAAAATATGTTAGAAAAATGTCTTATAAATCTCTAGTGTTAATTGCTAAAACAAGAAAAAAATTTCTTCAGCTTCTTCTATAAATCAATAAATTGATTAATTTATACTTGTTAAGATTGAATTATATCATCATGTTGTTTTACACCTAAATAAACGTCTTTATTCAAGATTTTCATACCAATATTAATATCATTATCAGGTTTTTTTTGCTAAATATAAATACCAATAAATAAAACCAACAAAAATACTTCCACCTAAAATATTTCCTAATGCAACTGGTATCAAAACATTTAAAATATAGTTTCCAATGGATAGATTAGCACCAAGTAGCATACCCATTTGTACTGTAAACATATTAGCAATTGGATGTTTATATTCAACAGCAAAAAAAAGTCAAATTGGTAGATAAATACCGATTATTTTTGAATTTAAATCACGTACACTTGTACTCAAACAAAATGAAAGACATACAAGCCAGTTTCCACCAATTCCTCTTAAAAACATTTGATACGATGGAGTATTACCTTTTAATTCAGCATATTTAATAGTATATGATAGATAAGGATCATAGGTCAAAAGGCCGGCATGATAAACGAGAAAATATTGAAAACAAAGACAACCAACAAGGTTTCCAAAGAAAGAAAGAAATACTCCATGATATAAGAAGATTAATCCATGTTGTTGTTTTATGTAATGTTGATATAACCAATACCATTGTATTGCCAATAAATAAGTCCGCACCAGTGACAATAACCAAAATGAGACCAATAGGAAATACTGCAGCTTGGATCGTTTTATGTATACCTGGACCAAAATTCTGAGCTAATAAAGTACGTCCACCGCCAACAGCCAAACAAAAAAGACCCCCGAATGATAGAAGAACACCAGCTAGAAATGATTTTATAATCATATGATCAATTTTTTGTTTAGATTTTCTCACTCCAATAGCTGATATATATTCAATTGTTTCATATATATTATAGGCATCATTTAATGACATATTAATTCAGGATATGTTGTTTTAATCTCTAAAAAGACAATCTATTCTGTACAATAAGCACGTTTCTCTCTTTCTGACCTAGTTCTTATATATATGTATAGATAAAAAAGTGTGTATATGAAGGAACTTTTATGCTAGTTCATTAGGGGAGTTTTTTCAAAAAAAACGTCAACTGAGAGAGTTTCATTTAATTTGGAATATCACTGAGAATATTAATTAATGTTAGTGTGAGAGTAGATAGAGTACAATATAATAAATTAGTTGTGAGAAGAGTGACGCTTACTAATTATAATGATAGTCGATTTTCAAAATAAAAAGATAAGAATTTCAGTAGATGAAATTCTATCATCATAATTATTAGATCGTAATACTGATTTATATTTATTTGGCTTCTTTATTAAAACCGTTTTCTTTAATCAAAGAGAATATAGGTGAAACGTTTCTTCTAGTTAATGAATCTCATCGATCATGAACATGTGAAGGTTTTGATGCGTATTGAAGCTCAATAGTATACCGAAAAAAGAATAGTTTCAAGCGATGCAAGTGAAGTAAGATAACATATGAATATGCTTCTCACGTTAAAAACGCATTGATGCGTGACGTAAATTACATTGATGATTGCGTTTATGTGTTGAATATACAATATTAGATACCGTATCGTAATCATTGAACTAATATATGTTACTGTTAAAATACGATACGTGTATGTTATAGATATAAATGAAAGCGTTTACTTGTATAGTTCGTTACGATAATTTCTTTTATAAATTAACTTAAGCAAATAAAACCTACTCACCCACTCTTAAATTATTGATTAAAGATCTCTTAGAATACACATTTCATTTATTATAATATCCTAGATATCATACTATACAACTATTAATTAATTTATTTATTTTATTAATACAATAGATCCACATCAAGTTATATACACAGCTCACAGGATCGAATATTATTACTCAGAAATCTTCATCTATCATCTTCTTCGATACATGATAATAATACTAATGGTGATTCGTCTTATTCATTCGTATTTGATCGATGCCTCCTTTCTTTTATTAATGAGTAGACGATAAACAAACCGATATAAACTACAAAAACAGATAATCCGAAAAAAAGATTAAAAATAAGTTATTATGTAGGATTTGTTGTTGTTTGATTATCAGATAATGTATTATCTTATAAAACTGTCGATTCTAAATCCAACGGTGGTTTCTCTGGATCATTCATTTTAACTCTTGCAATCGCTCGCATTATCCAATCAAGTGATTTATTAACCTAAATATATAAACAATTTATTTTTAAATAGAAATGAAAATAAATTATATTTATACCTCATGTGCATGTTTTTCCATTCGTACATTATTCTATATAATAAAAATTGAAAATAATTCCTTAAATTTTAAAGTAAAAATTAGTTTACTTCTTCTAAATGTTTTTGATTATTAGTTACAACTGATTTTAATGTCATTATTTCTTCTTTTAAATTTTCTATTATTTGTTGTTCATTATTATCCAATTGTGTTTCATTATTACTATAAAATTGAAATATTAACTGAAAATAAAAAGATAAAAATATTATTTTACTCAATAGTAAGAAGTTTATTTTTTGAAATATTTTCATCAATTGATAAATCATTTTTCTTTTTATTCTTTTCAAAAATTGTACGAGCATAACTTTGTGTTGCTGCATTTTCAAATATATCCCATCGTTCATTAACTTGAGATCCTACTGGAATCATTTCTAGATTTATTGTAATTTAAAAAATTCAACAGTTTTTTTTGTTGTAATCTTACTAAAAATACGTGTTATTGTTTTGGGTTGTGATTTATCATTTTCATGTGTTACTTGACTCTTGCAAAATTTTAGACACAATTTACGTTTTAAAGCAAGAAAAAGAAAAAAAATATGTGTAAAAATAATTAATGGCGGATATGCTAGTGGTGGACGTTCAAAATATTCACGAACAAATGTATAACGTTGATAATGCCAATAAAATTCCGTATTTTCTTGAATATCATCAATTGTACGACTATATGTTATAGCAAAAGACAAAGAAGTTTTTTTGTTATTATAATAAATCAATTAATAAAATCTTACGTAAAAACAGCAATTAATAAATTAAGTATAAGAATATTAATAAATAACATATGAAAAGCTAATAAAACATGAGTAGCTGTTGCTTCAGCGACATATGATTGAGTTTCATTACTAATTATTTCTAAAGAAGTTTTTATTTAAAAATAAATAAATAAATTTGAAATAAAAAAAATTTTACCATCGAGTAAATCTTTATCACTAACATCACCATATATAAACCAATATGGTTCATATAAAATACCTTTAAATAAATCATTAATAGTAAATGGAATTTGTTTATAAAAAATTAATGATCGAGATACCACACCATATGCAGCTATTGCTATAAAGATTATATAGACAAAAGCAAATAGATCTCGAAGCTAAATTTTAATTAATTTTAAATAAAATGTATTCAATAAAAAATGAACAAACCATATTTTTAAGCATAAACAATTTTGGACCTATGAATTTTAAAACCACAATAAATCGAAGTGATCGAAGATACCATAATTCAAGATCAAATGCCCAAATAATTCTATAAAAGAATAAAATTCATTAAAAACAGCTGTGTTTGGAATTAAAAAGTAAAATCGATTAATAACGTCTCTCACGGTCTAGCACTCATTTTAGTTTGTATTTCACAAAAACAAAATTATAAACCTTGCTGTCGATATAATATTTTCATTATAAGCTCGATAACGAAATCCAAGACCCAAATAGAAAAGAAAATAAGGTATTATATAAAATGCATTGGTTAGCACTGTTAGAAGAAATGATCCAGTTGAACCCCATCGTTCAGTCATTCGTGTTTTATATTCATGATATATCTTCAAGAAAAAGAAAATAACATAATTATGCGTGATTATTTTTTTATTAAATAATATTCTACTTTTCGAACTTCTTCACAAAACATTGTTGAAATTGTAATAATAACATAAATTTCAGTCCAATGAGGTTTAATATCTGGATCTCCCGAATCAAGATGATAGAGCATCATATAACTAAATACGAGTAAAAAGAAAATGTAACTTATCTAAATGGAAAAAAAAGAAAATATTTTTGATTATTTATATAAAAATTCTTTCTTACAAAATGATAACACATTTTTACCATTGGACTTTGATGAAAATATTTAAATAATAACCAATATTTTGTACATGGATGTGTTGTCGAGATTTTTTTATTCATGTAATAATTTATACCATCTGATGATAATCTATTAATAGAAGAATTTATTTATAAAAAAATTATTTATGATTTTATTTCCTCACGTTCTATCGGCGACTTCCTAAAAAAAAACATTAGAAAAATATTTTGAAATCATAAAAATACTTCTAATATACATACAATTTCTACATCTCGATAGGTTATTGCTAGCGGAGCTGAGAGACCTAAAGTTAATATTGTAGGTATTTGTAGGAGTTTTGCTGACATTTGTTGATTTTTAATCGATAATTTATTATACCATACTTGAGCTAATGTCTGATCAAAACAAGCTGTCTCAAGTAATTTTCCACTTTCACTTGATATAGCTACCTAAAATAATCATTAAATACTATTCTGTTTATATAAGAAGTTTCCAGTTAGCATTATTTATAAAAATTTTATTAGTATTTAAAAAAGATAATTTACTTGCATAGGTGTAATATTACCAAAAAGTGGTATTTGTCGTAAAAGTAATTCGCAAGCTATTCTTTCATTAAATTCATAACATTTATCAATAAACATTCCTGCATATGTTTCAAATTCGAGTGCTTGATTTTGAAATTTATTTTTAAGATAAATTGTTGTTGATGATTTAGCATATCTTTTAAATATAGCAGAAGCTACAAGCGCCGCACATATTCGAAATGGTATATGAATAAGAATTATTTTAGCCATTTCGGGCATATCCAAAAAAATCGACATTAAGAAAAGATCACGTAATAAATGATCTTTTGTATATGGATGTTTAGGATTAAGATCGTGAGTAGTTTGATTATCATCGACTTGTTTCAATTCACAGCAAGTACATATAAAAGCTTTTAAATCAATACGAATACATATTTTAATACTATCACGTTCGCATGAATAAATTGGTCCAATAAATGAACCAACAAATCTTTTTAATTTTGAATCAAGTTCTTCTGTTGTTTTCGATGAAATTTCACCAAATAATGTTGTTATATCTTTTGAACGATTCTTGATTAATTAAAAAAAGTAAAGAATTTTTCTTAAGAAAACAAAACAGTAAATAAATAAATAAATAAATATACTTTATTCATTTGAGCATGACAACCTTCATATAGATTTGAAATAGTTTTATGACGTGTTGATGTATCTCCAGTTTCAATAAGAATAAGTGGATCAGAATTAGCAGCTAATAAATATTCAACAAATTTAGGACGATTTTTTTCAAGTGATTTTTTAAATAATTTTTTTTCATCGTCGATATATTTCTATAAAAAAAGAACACTTCATCGATTTTCTTTTTTCATTTATAAGAATTTTACTTTAATTGAGTCTGGATCAGTTAGTCGAAGTTTAGCATCTTGTCGTGTTTGTAAAATTGGTAGTACACCTTCAAAATAATTCCATTCAAGAGCTAAATCTATTAATTTATTTTCATCATTTTGACCCTGCTGTTCTTGATTATTTCCTTCATTTTTTCTATTGTTATCATTATTACCGATAACGTTTTTCTTATTTTTTACTAGATAATCAAATAAAATAAATTAAAATACTGACGTTAGGGCAAGGGTGTGGGTGGGAATGTTGTCTTCTTTGCTCCTCATATCTACATCCACAATCTAAATATTTTTATTTTCTTATTCAACATACCAAAAATAGCATTGAATATTGTCTGAGCCATATTATTATCATTATTTAAAGAAAAAACATTTAAGAAATATCGATTAGTTTTTATTAAAATGTTTTTTATCTGATCGATTGTTGAACGAAAATCAAAATTATCCGGGGTAGGAATAAAATATTCTACAACTTTTTTAATATCTTCATCAGTTGGATAACTAGTATAAATAAATAAATAAGTATTGATTAGAAAAATCCAACTAATATATTAAATCAATTTACTTTTGATCAATTTTTTCAATAGTTGAACTTTGTTCAATTAATGTAGCAAGTGTATCAGCTAAACGTCCACTACCCTATTAATGAATAAATAATCAAATATTAATAATAATAATAATAAACAACGAACTTTAATAAGTACAACAGGTCGCTGTGCTTTAATATCATTTTTGATAACTTCAAGAGTATTTATGCCTCCTTCTACAATAATTGTTACAGCATAACCTATAAATATTTTTCAAATTAAAAATAAAAATATTTTGAATAAAACCACACATGTATGATTTGCTTGTTGACATGCATGTGTAACTAGTTGATGACGTTGTGTATCACCGAGATATCCAGATAATTGACCATCATCAAATAAAATACAATGTGTATGATTTTTTTCTATTGTTTCTTTATCTTCTTGAGTATTATCAGATATCTGTCGATGAAGAAATTCTCTTCGATAGGTCTATTAAATAAAAATTAAAATATACAAGAAATAAAATATTTTTAATTCTTATTTACATCTGTTGTATGTTTTAGTTCAAAACGTGTACTTTCATTAACTGTACCCCACATTGTCATTCCAATACATTTAACTTTATTTGGATATTCTCTTAAAAGACGATAATGTGAAATACCTTCCCCAACTAATTTTGATACACCATTATTAATTCCAGCAGTTAAAATCCAAGTATCTAAAGATATTAATTAATATTAAATAATAATTATTCAGTTATTCTATTTACCAGTTCCACTAGCAGCATCAACAATTCCTCGTATTATTTCTTTTTCAAGTTTTTCGGGTACAAGAAAATATTTTGCACCACCATAAACACTTAATATTAAACTTGGCTTATGTTCAACACCTCCACAATCATCAACAAGTAAATTATAGATATCGTTTAATTTTGATCGAATATCTACTCGAACAAATTTACAATCAGTAGATTTTATTCTTCCAAATACATTTATAGGAACTTTAGTTGAATGAACACGTATACCAAAATGATCTGGTGGATTCCATTCAGTTTCACCATTGTTTTTAATTTTAGGTAGTAGGCTAATACCATTAAAACTATGACAACGAATTAAACGACCACAACAACATGATTTATCATTGTCATTGGAAGACGGCGATACCTGACGATTATAAATTTTACAAGTGCATGATTTTAAACTACAATTTTTTTTAATAAGATCTTCCCATGATGAGGATTTTTTCTCTGTAGACATCAAACAATTTTAAAAACTAAAACAAGAAATAAATTCGACTTTACAAATAATAAATAGTCTATGTAAGAATTCAAGGGTATTTTTTTCTTGAGCGTTATGACTATTCTATATACAAACGTTTTTTGAGTCATGAACCAAAAATTTAAAAATATGAGAATAATATCAAAAGAAATAGAGTCTAAGAATCTAATAATATTCACTAATTTTCATCAATAAATTTAGAAAAATAATATTCAGTATATATTGAATATTTGTCAATTTCAAACAACTGTTGCAATACAGTACGTCAAATAAAAGAGAGTAGATGCCTAATTCGAGTTTGAATATAAGCAAATATTAAGAAAAGAAAAACTAGTACCTATTTCTAGAAATAGATTTAGTTTTAGAATAATTTTCAGACAAATTCTCCTTACCCACGTTATGCATCCTCCCTCCTTTCACACACATTATGTCCCCCTCCCACCCATCTCTTGGTCGTATATATAAATCATATGCATCTTAGAGTAAAACCAAAACCAAGTCTATTCCTAAATTTGAGCAGTCATCCTATTCCGCAATGTTGAACATTTTAGGAGCCAGTTCCGCACCGGAATCGATTCTCCTCAATTCCGGGAACTCGATCGACACATAACATCCGACTAGGGAACTGCAAAATGGTCCCGGTCCCGCGGGACTGGGACCAGCACCGGGACTAAATTTCTCTTACTTACCGAGACCGGGGCCAAGACTAAAATTTTCAGCTAATACCTCGACGTTTTTATCAAGTATGAGACTAGACATTTTCTTATTTCTTTTTTTTCTTTAATTAACAATTGACAAATGTGTTATTTTATAGTTCAAGAAAAACCGTATATATTGAATTCACAATCAAAAAAGCGAAAATTTTCGTGAACTTCATATGTTTTTTTGCATGGACGAAGACAACACCGGAATTATTCATAAGCTTTTATTAAGACCGGGACCACCTGTAAAAGCTTGACCGGGACCAAAAAAAAGTGATTTTGCAGTTTCCTATATCCGACATCACTAGACAATTGATCGAGTTCCGTCAACTTTCGGAATCAGTAGGAATTCTGTGCAATTCCAGAATCGGTAGGAATTCCGTGCAGTTTCGAAATCGCTGGGACTTCCTAGGAATTCCGGAATCGGTGGAACTCGATCAATCTCGGCTGGGTCTCTTACGTTGTGTCTCGATCGAGTTCCCGGAATTGGACGGAACCGATTCCGGCGCGAAACTGATTCCTCTAATGTTCAACATAGCGGAATAGGATGCATTCTCCTAAGTTTCACTATTCATTTTCGAATTAGTAGTGTGTAGCTGGATGTCCATTTATATTCGAATTCGAATTAGGCATCTTATGATAAAAGAACGAGAATATGAGTATTCACTTACATTATTAAATAAGTTTATTTATTTTACAGGAAAGAAAAAATATATATTTAAAAAAGCAATGACAACTATATATAATTTTCAAGGATACATAGAAATATCGACGTTGCTATCTTTCATTGATGTAGAGAAAGAATATTATAATAATGCTTCATTCTCATGTTTTCTGAACAAAACCTAAAACTCAACTTTTGAAAACGATTTGCTTTATAAACTTACAAAAATAGAAGGCATATGATCTTCAACAAGATGAAGCAATATTTTGTTAACAACCACTATCATACAAAAATTGCTACTTTGTGCGATTTACTTTGGAATAGAGATTTAACTAAAGACTTCCGAAATCAAACAAGATCGATCATATACTTTGCTAGTTATTCTAACATAAATATATTGTAATAACCCGGGCAAACATGAAACTGTGAAAACGGCGTTTAAACGCGTTTGTTTGTAGAACTTCCTTTTTTTCAACTATTTTTTACAGTTTATATTTGGGTAGACTGGAAAAAACACTTAAAAACGTCTCTTCTTCGTTTTTGGCAAAAACAATGCGTTTTAACAACAATTTTTCGTTTTTCGTCGTTCATGAAAAATAGGTTAAAATAAAAAAAGTTTGTATAACTATTTTGTAGAAAGTGTATGATGCGCGTTACCACTCACTAATTGTCAGTTAGTGATGAATGGTAATACTAATGTGTTAATACTGATAGTTAGTGATAATGGTTAGTTTCTTACCCTATAATACTTTGACTTAATGAAAATATCTAAAGGAGAGAAATAACAATTATTATTGTCTGAACAAGTAAACTAGTGTCGAATACATAGTCGATATTACTATTTACCGTTAGTTAGGGGTCAATGAGCAATAATTAGAATGCATATATGCTATGGCTAATGGAAAGAAAAATTTAGTCTCACTATTTCTTGTCAATGTCCAAAGAGTTGCATCGAAGAAAAATCTTTCCTTTAGTAATAGATCGAAGCTAAAGTCTAACGAGAAGTATGATAGTCATAGCGATGATGGTCTCAGTACGTGTCTAGCGTCTTTAAAGATGTTATCAGTGGATTTCTTCAGCAATGTTTTAGTATTCCAAAAGTTCCGTAAAAGTAATATTGTTCTTTGTTAATATTTAATTAGAACAAACATCAACTCTTTCTATCATCCGCTGCAGTAGCACTACTACGGACTGCTGTGCTAAACAACATCAGTCTATTGATACATCTTTTATACATTATCTTTTCATATACATACTTCCAACAATTGATATTAGATGGACTTGCTCAGTTATCAATATAAGATGACCTTACTCAAAATCGCTTTACTTTTCTTGGGAAGCTTAGATCTCGTTTAGTTGTACTGAGCGAACTTTCTCAACAAGCAAACGAGTAATATAACTGATAAAAAAACAACATGCTAGGAAAAAATCGTTCATGTAACTATATATATTAACATATCATCATTATTGTATAAATTATTCCTTTGTCCGCTAATAAAATGATATTCAAAATCTTTTCTTTTAATCTTTTTTTAAAGCATAAGTATGTGAATACTTGCCTAATTCCACTCATAATATAAATGAAAGGAAAAAGAAATTCATCAGCGCATTTCACACTTATAAAAACTCTTTTATCGATTTCTCGTTTATATAATTGTATTAAATGAACACTTTATTGCACTCTAAAAAAATGAGTATTTGTTACTAACAAAAATTCTTTTAGGTTTTCCGAATCACTCGGAAACTACAAACGTTTCCGAATCGCTCGAGAACCCGAAAAGAGTTTCCGATAGTAACATATATCCGTTTTTTTTTGTAGAATGTGTAGGTTAGGAAAAGCAAAACAGAAAATTTTTCTTTTATCGATTTCTCATTTATATAATTGTGTTAAATGAACATTTTACCTTAGGTTAGGAAAAGAAAAAAAAGAAAGTTTTTTTTAATCTATTTATCACTTATATAAATGTGACAAATGAAGGCTTTATTTTAAAGTTAGAAAAGAAAAAAAGAAAAGTTTTTTTTTATTCCATTTATCATTGGTAGAAACGTTTATATAAATGGTATGAATCAATATATTAATAGTTTGTTTGATTATTTCTTTTCGGAATGAGAACAATCTTGTGAATGTTCATTTACATTATAAGTCGAATTAGACAAATCGTGAAGTACGTGTGAGTAGTAAATATGGCTCACTGAGATAATCAAGTCAGTTTATTTTCGTATTGGTTATGATATAAGGTAGATAGTTAGAATTTAATCGCTACATTAAATTCGAATAATTAGTTGATTCACATTTTATTTCTTTTTACTTCGTTTCATGCGAAAATAAATTCATCATTCGTCCACATTTAAAAGAATTTTTTTCCTTTCATTCGCTATCTATTTAACTCTTACTCTGCGCTAACAATCGAGACATAATTCAATATAGATAATGCATATTTTTATTCTGTATATGAGAGTGAACATAATTAAATCTTATAAGCGTCTATCCATAAAAAGATCTTCCAAAATGAGAGAAAAATAGGACAGTTGTTGCATCCTTTACAGTTGCAAGTTCTTCTTTTGAAAAGTTTTGATATTGACTCAGTCGTAACAGTCATTTTTACTGAAATACGCAAAAATCCAAAGATGACTTTATCTGTGTAGGTTAGAAGAATAATATAACAATCACTTCTCAAAAAATTCTTTTTGAGAAAGTTTGCAACGAGTTTGTAAATGTAATACATTATTTCGATGACAAATATTTTGAATAGTTCCAGTAGAGGATTCATTGAATCAATGACCATTAGAGAAGATCATCACTTAAAAGGAAAACAGACACACATATTTAAACAAAGAAGACATGTCGCTTCCAAAATAGACTGGCAGCTTCGCGATTCTCACATGATCGTAACTAAAGGATTATTTATTGTTTCATCAATATGTGCTCGTACACTGATTTACATCTAAAAAATCTGCCGCCTAACATCTGGGACTAATTCATTGAAATTCAGATTTCATCACAAAGTTAAAATGTTAAAGGGGAAGATATCGAGAGAATAAATGATATTAGATAGATTTCGTCGTTTGAGGCAAAGTATAGAAAACTATAATACCTGCTAAAGAGTAGTATTATCTTCGAAACGACTGCAAGTTACATGGAGTGACTAGTTTTTAGGTCGATCTTCAGCGGTCACAGAATGTATCAAGAATCTTTTCGTATAACTATACTACTGATTTACCTATATCAACTAACTCCTTTCTACCCGATATATTTCTCGACGAAAGTTTTGCTTTAATAAACAAACGTCACAGACTCTTTTCACTAATTCCATACTGACATCATTTCATTTCTTTATTTTTAATTGCTTGACTTTCGACTCCATCAATTTCGATTTCGTTTTGATGAGACACGAAAGGATTAATCTCTGTAAGAGGTACTCTATGACTTAAACAATTTCCGAAATCGAAAAAATTAAAAAAGAGACGACTTAGTGTGGATATGGAACCAGTGAAAAGTCTAAATGTTTACATCTGACGAGGGAACTTCTCCAAGTGATACCCTCCGTTTGACCTCATATTCTGCCCACATGTAGGACTCATATAGTAGATAAAAATCCCAAAAGAGTTCGTGCCATTGGCCTCTTGCTGTTGAGATATTGTGTTTCTAAGTTACGGAGATAACTGAATGCCGTGGTCCCCCTCAGGGAAGTGCGAAAAACTAATGTTGGAATTTTGACTTGAAACTTTGTATACAAAGAGGTCTTACTGAGAGTAGTTTACTATGAAAGTTTCAGTTTTCCTGAATATTCATAATTCAAAAAAAGAATGTCATATTCTACCTCTTATAAGCGGTAGCAGGTGACATTAGATTTTCATAGCCGTATCGCTGAACAGAAACAAGGAGTAAGTCTAAAACTTTCATAGTAAACTACTCTCAGTAAGACCTCTTTGTATACAAAGTTTCAAGTCAAAATTCCAACATTAGTTTTTCGCACTTCCCTGGGGGGGACCACGGCATTCAGTTATCTCCGTAACTTAGAAACACAATATCTCAACAGCAAGAGGCCAATGGCGCGAACTCTTTTGGCATTTTTACCTACTATATGAGTCCTACATATGGGCAGAATATGAGGTCAAACGGAGAGTATCACTTGGCGAAGTTCGCTCGTGAGTCGCGAAAAATTTTTGACGTGTGCTTCTTGAAGTAAAAATTTTATCGAGAAATGTATCGGGTGGAAAGAAGTTAATCGATATAGTTAAATCAATAGTATAGTTATACAAAAATACTCTTGATACACGATATCTCTTGCATACAACCAAAAGATTAAATTAACGTTTTAACATTTGAATGTATCGTTTGTTAAAAATGTTTGAATTTATTGTCGAAAATTCATTAAAATAATAAAAGTTTCAAAAAATCTCAGCGTTAAAACATAGAAAAGTATCAAATATCGTTAACTGTTTAAACGCTTTTTTAGTGACAAATTCAACATTTCTAACGAACTAAACAGCTAGATGTTTAAACGCTGTTTTTACCGTTTCGTTGTATATCTGGGTGTTTGTGGGAGAAGACAGAATCACCACTCATATTTTACCCACCTTCACCCACCCTTCTAAAGTTTTTCTGAAAGATTTATTCTTCAAATCAGATTTCATACAAAATTACTGTTGTTAAGATTTCTTGTTTTTCCAATTAATTCCAGATTTTTCAAATACAAATGGCATTGTCAACAGTAATTTATGCTGAACCGATCAGTCAGCAAACAAGTGAAAGACGGATTGAACCTATCGCAAGAGAAGCATCGCTTACAACGGGAGAAGTACATATAGATTCTGTGCCACCCTTAAAAGAAGAAACTGTATATGCCAAAGATAATCATGAAGAACTAATCTTAATTT